GAAGATATGGCGGCACATTGAGCCGCATCGCCGATGCATTTCAAGACGACACGATGTTTTTGTCAACAGGCGGCAGTTCCTCACTTTCGGTCCGCGGAACCTGCTTTCGGCCCCCAAGGGCAATCGAGAATGGATCCTGGACGGAAGCTACCCCCGTGGGAGCGGTCTGGGCCCCTGGGACCGCGCAGCGAGAAGGTCATGTCGGCGGATGTCCGAGAGCCTCGAGGAGCCGAGCCCCGCGAGTGACTCACGAGGTGCGGTCTGCTCGGGTCGAGCGGAGCAGCCTCGCAGGAGGCCACGCGTGCAGCTGCGTGCAAGTGCGCGCTGGGTCCCACAAAAAAACAAAAACAAAAAAAAAAAAAAAAAAAAAAAAAAAAAAAAAAAAAAAAAAAAAAAAAAAAAAAAACACTGCGTGGAGCTCCCCATATGTGCATCTATTCGCATTGACCTGTCCGCCGTCAGTGTCTAGGCGCAAGAGCTTTCGAACATAAACGGGCTTCAGTTGTGACGGTCCGGTCATGAATCTAACTGAGAATGAATTGGGGTGTGAACGAGCCTCAGTAGTACGAGCGCGTCTCTGCGCATGAGCCTGGGTCCTCCTGGGGCCTCCTGGGACCTCCTGAAACCTACTGGGGCTTCCTGGGGCCTCCAGGAGCCTCTTGGGGCCTCCTGGGGCCTCCTGGGACCTCCTAGGGAGGATTTGTGCCCCAGGAGAGGCCCAATCTATAGCAACAGACGTACATAAAACATTGCGGATTGGAGCCACAGGAGAAGGGGGCAATCTATAGGAACACACGTAAAACACCGAGGAGTCGTGCCCCAGGCGAGGCACTATAGGAACATAAGTACACAGGAGAAAGACAATCTATAGAAACATACGTATAACATCAAGGATTCGTGCTCCAGGTGAGGCCAACTCTATAGGAGCATATGTAAAACACATGGGATTGGAGCCACTCCTGTTGCCTTCTGAGGCCTCCTGCTCCTGGGGCCTCTCGGGGCCTCTTATTGCCTTCCGAGGCCTCCTGGCGCTTCCTCTGGCCTCCTGGGGCCTCCTGTGGCTTCCTGAGGCCTCCCGGAGCTTCCTGGGGCCTCCTAGAGCCTCTTGGGACATCCTGTGGCCTCTTGAGTCTTTCTGTGGCCTTCTGATGCCTCCTGGGACCTCATGTGGTCTCCTGGGGCCTCCTGGAGCCTGTTGGAGCCTCCTGTGGCATCCTGAAAAGAATCTGTGCCGACGAGTCTGGCCACCGATCGACACATCCTCAAAATCTGGCCCACCTGGGGGTGAAAATGAGCAGCGCCTCGCTCGAGACATCCTCCAAATCTGCTCCGAAAGCGAAGGATGCTGAGACAGAAAACAGGCAAACCGCTTGAGACATCCCCACAAAACGGCCGCGAACGGGACCGTGAGATAACCCCTGGCGGCTCCCCTTAGGGTGGTGAAAATGAGCGCCTCGCTCGAGACATCCTCAAAATCTGCTCCGAAAGCGAAGGATGCTGGGACAGAAAACAGGCAAACCGCTTGAGACATCCCCACAAAACGGCCGCGAACGGGACCGTGAGATAACCCCTGGCGGCTCCCCTTAGGGAGGTGAAAATGAGCGCCTCGCTCGAGACATCCTCCAAATCTGCTCCGAAAGCGAAGGATGCTGGGACAAAAAACAGGCAAACCGCTTGAGACATCCCCACAAAACGGCCGCGAACGGGACCGTGAGATAACCCCGGGCGGCTCCCCTTAGGGAGGTGAAAATGAGCGCCTCGCTCGAGACATCCTCAAAATCTGCTCCGAAAGCGAAGGATGTTGGGACAGAAAACAAGCAAACCTTGAGACATCCCCACAAAACGGCCGCGAACGGGACCGTGAGATAACCCCTGGCGGCTCCCCTTAGGGTGGTGAAAATGAGCGCCTCGCTCGAGACATCCTCCAAATCTGCTCCGAAAGCGAAGGATGTTGGGACAGAAAACAGGCAAGCCGCTTGAGGCATCCCCACAGAACGGCCGCGAACGGGGCGTGCGTGAGTCTCAGCATGAGTAAGTCTGAGTAGGAGTAGGTCTAAGTATGAGTAGGTCTGAGTATGAGTAATTTTGTGTGTGAGTACGTCTGGGTATGGGTAAGTCTGAGTGTGAGTCAGTCTGTGTATGAGTAAGTCTGGGTATGAGGAGGAGAGGGGAGGAGAAGGAGAAGGAGGCGAAGTCGGCGGCGTCCAAGAAATAACAAGAACCCCATCTTCGGAGATGGGGAACAACAACAACAACAACAACAAAAGTCGGCCTCCTCCTGCTCGAGGCTCGAAGCTCGAGGCTCGGGCTTTCTTACGCCTCCTCCTGCCAGAGGGCTGGGGGCGAGGAGGGAGGGAGAGGGAACAGGGAAATCGAGAGTCGAGGTTTTCGGCGAGATTCACTCTTTTTTGGAGCCTCCAGAGGCGTTCTCGTCACCACGACAAAACTCCCCGCGCTGCTCTGGCCAGAACGCAACCTGGCAGAGGTCGGGGGAAGCGATGTTTCACCCCGAGCCGAGGACACCCGCTCGCGCCGCGAAGGCATCACGACGGACGGTCCTGAAGTAAAACGCAGCACCGTGAAAAAACACCACGGGAGCCATAGACACAATCTTTCTGCGGCACTCCTCGAGCTGGACCGATCTGCGAAAACCCCCGGGAGCTCGAAGCCTGACACAAACGAGGTGACAGAACCTGAGAAGAAAAAAATGACATTTATTTTGCGTTCTCTGTGCTCTTCTGATTGTGTTTTTGTTGTTTTCCTGTTGTTATGATGTTGTTGTCGGTGTTTTCGGTTTTTTCCAAACAACCTGTGTTGTTGGGTCCCCGGTCGGAAGAGACGGTCCCCCTGTCTCCTCCTCCTCCTCCTCCTCTTCCTCCTCCTCCTCCTCCTCCTCTTCCTCCCTCCTCTCCTCCTCTCACGCCTCGTGGCCCCATAGGGAGGTCCACCTAAGGCCCTTGTGGTGTGTACCACATGCGTCTCCCCCACTACCGAGGTCCACCTAAGGCCCCAGTGGTGTGTACCAAATGCGTCTCCCCCACCCAGTACAGCGTTTCGTGGCCCCATAGGGAGGTCCACCGAAGGCCCGAGTGGTGTGTACCACATGCGTTTCCCCCACCCAACACAGCGTTTCGTGGCCCCATATGGAACCCCACCGAAGATCCCCGTGGCGCAGTCCGCATGCGTCTCCCCCACCCAGTACAACGCTTCGTGGCCCCATACGGGTTCCGCCGAAGGTCCTAAGGTCCCCGCGGCGCAGTCCGCATGCGTCTCCCGCACCTAGCACAGCGCTTCGTGGCCCCATTGGGGCTCCGCCGAAGGTCCCCGTGGCGCAGTCCGCACGCGTCTCCCCCATCCAGTACAGCGCTTCGTGGCCCCATATGGAGCCCCACCGAAGGTCCCCGTGGCGCAGTCCGCATGCGTCTCCCCCACCCAGTACAGCGTTTCGTGGCCCCACAGGGGCTCCGCCGAAGGTCCCCGCGGCGCAGTCCGCGCGCGTCCCCCCCCCCCCCCCCCCCCCCCCCACACCCCACCCCACCCCACCCCCACCAATACAACGGTTCGTGGCCCCATAGGGCCTCCACCGAGGGTCCCCGTGGCGCAGCCCGCATGCGCCCCCCCCCCCCCCCACCCATCACAGCGTTTCGTGGCCACAGATGTAGCCCCACCGAAGGTCCCCGTGGCGCAGTCCGCACGCGTCTCCCCCACCCAGTACACCTCCGTCGGAGGCCGTCGGGGTTCCGCGCCTCGCTCGCGCGTCGTCGCTCTGCCCAGCAGCAAGAGCCTCGCCCGCTATCAGCCAGCCAGCAAGCTCTCTTCGCTCCGCGCAGCGGACGACCCGCGCGCGTCGCTGGGACCCCCCAGGGGCGACCTGCGCGCGTCGCGGGGACTCCGCGCTGCGCCCGCCGCCTTGGACTTTTGAGTGCGCGGGCAAAGAGGGAGTAAAAGAAGGGGACGAAGCGGGCGCGATCCTCGCGGGGGGGCGCGCCGACATTGGCGTCGCGGCGCGCGGGCGATGCCGTCGGGGAGTCCCGGGGAAGCTCCTTGCGGCGGCCACGCCCAGCGTCACGAGTACTCCAAGGCAGTCGTTCTCAAACTATTGACATTCATATACAATTACACCATGCTTTGTCATACTCGCATTCATGCACGTAGACTCGCTCGCACGCAGATTCATTCACAGTCAGACGCACTCGCGCTGTCTCCCCACGTACTCAGATCAATCGTTTTCGTTCGCTTTGTGTACCACGCCACTCATGTCGGCACACCCCTAGCACGGTTCGCTGCCTCATAGGGATCACCACCGAAAAAATAATCACAATTGCGGCACTCACACCTGCATGTGGTTGGGTCCTTCGTCAGGCTAATTTCAGTTCGACGGCCGAAGATGCCCCCAACATGACCCCAAAACCCACCAAGAACACTCCAAGGAAGACCCGCCGACAGCCCGAAGGACGCCGGGATAGCCCCAAAGGGATCAAAAGAAAACCCCAGGAAATACATGATACTGGAGAAAACCAAATCATCATCTGTTTAAGGTTATAAGGCTATAGGGCTATAGGACCGAAGGGCTATCGGTCTATAGGGTTATAGGGCTATAGGGCTATAGGGCTATAGGGCTTCAAGTTTATCTCTCTATATATAGAACTATATGTATACAGCTATAGAGCTATAGAGCTATAGGACTATAGGGCTATAGGGAAATAGTGCTATAGGGCTATAGGGCTATAGGGCTATAGGGCTACACGGCTATAGGGCCACAGGGCTGTAGGGCTGTAGGGCTCTAGGGCTGTAGGGCTGTAGGGCCATCAGGCTATTGTGCTATAGGGCTATAGGGCTATCAAACTACAGGGCTATAGGGCTACCGGGCACCCGGGCACCCGGGCACCCGGGCACCTGGGCACCTGGGCGTGCCGCCGAAATGGGCGCCGTACCTCACCTAACAATATAAATCCTGTAGGACGTCTACAGGAAATACAAGATGCGCCCAAAAGAGGGCCCAGAACAGGTGCACGGGCCCGAATGCCCGACCTCAACGACGGTTCCACTTCACCAGAAGTCAGGTGCACGGTGGCCCCACGGACCCCAGACCCAGCCCCTACATGGCGGAATCATGCTCCATTGCCATTGTCGCGAGTTCCCTCTTCAGGAAATGGGCACGGCGGAAACGAGCCTCGGCGGAGCAGGACTAGTTCCGAGAGGGGGGAGGAGAAGGGGGGAGAGGGACGAAAAGGGGGAGAAATGAGAAGAGGGGAAGGAAGGAAAGGAGGAGGGCAGGGAGAAGAAGGAACGAAAGAGAAGGGGCCAGACAAGTGGGCGAGGGGGGGGGAGAGGGAGCAGTAGGAGAAGAAGGAGAAGAAAAACAATAAAAAAAACAGGAGGAGGAGGAGGAGCAGGAGCCGGACGAGGGGGGGAGGAGGAAGGAGTAGGGAGCAGGAGCGGAGCGGGAAGGAGCGGAAGGGGAGCAACGAGCGCGGAGGCGTCCCCCGGAGGAGACGGCCGACACTGGCCTGCGGAGTGGGCCGTGGCCCCGGGCTCCGAACAAGTCGAAGGGGTGGACACCTCAGCTGCGAGCCCAGAGGGGAAGTGAGGCTCGGAAGTTCCCCAGCCTTCTGAGAAGGTTTCTAGGCCTTCCGCGGAGACACAGTGAAAGGTTCTCAAAGGCGCGAGGGCTTCTGAGAAGCCCCACCGTCTTCTGAGAAGGCCTTCTAATTCCCCTCCTCGCCCGCCGCCGGTCATTCCCGAAGTACTTATTGAGACTACTTTGGACTCGGCTTGACCGCGAAGGCCGCCTCCACGTATTAAGAGGAAGCCAGGACGAAGATAAGATCGAGTGAAGATAGATCGAGAATCTCTGAGATCTGGCGGAACTGCAGGATGTCTCGGACGCCGCGGCCTTCTGAAAGCGTTCCTCAACGCTCTGAGAGCGTTCCTGAACGCTCTGGAAAGAAATTATCCTCGTCCTTGCCTCGCCCGACGCTTATCTTTTCAGGCCCTACCGATGGCGTCTAAGGCACTGCAGATACCTGTAGCTCGCACCACGCGAAGGATTGCCTGCCCCCTGCAAGGCGGCGAACATGGCAAATGGCAGCTGGAGCCCCGTCACTTCGTCGGAGAAGGAGTCGGTGGCCTTGGGCTCACGCGTCCTCCCCGTTCTCCCGGGAGACCCGGAGAGTGAACCCGCCCGCGTTCCGCCCACTTCCGCGCCACCCGCCGTCCGAGTGAGGCAAGCAAGTGTGTGGCACAGCTGACCATTCGCCAACACACGGGTGGAGGCGAAAAGGAACCTTGGCCTGCATCCAAAAATGCATTGCACAAGCGGTCAGCCTCTTGATTCTGGCGGCGGGGCCTCCATACGACGTGTGCCTCGATCGTGTCCGGAGATCTCCACCCATGAATCACACTCTGGGATCAAAAAACCCAGAGGTGCGTAAGCTGGGCGGGCCGTTCCCACTGGACAACCGGCGAACCACTCAGAGCTTCTGCCAATGCTTCGCTGTCGAGAACAATCCTGGAAACTTGAACGGAAGATGAAAGAACGGGCCAGGAGGAGTCGGAGGAAAGGAGAGCAGGGACGGTGTCAAAGAACAGGCGGCCGTCAGAAACGAAGAAAGCGTGGTCGCCGAAGTCCCAGTCAATGGCGCCCACCCTGCCCGTCGCGACGCATGCTCGCTGCTCCGTGCTGCCAAGGCGGAACTGTGTTCATTTGCCGTGTCGCCTAGGTCCCCCTCGCCCTCCGATTTCTTGCATTCCGAATGGCCCCCCTGGGCAACGTCCACACGAATAGCAGCTAGTTTGCCAACCTAGTCGCGATGGACGGAAACATCTGTTCAAACAAGGAAGGTGCCATTTGACGCAGAGAAGATCAATGAAAGACCGCTCATGATTCTTCCACTCCCCGGTGCCGTTCATGACCACGATCTCCCAATCAGGGACGGCTTCGTCCCAGAAATCCTCTGGCTGCGAAGCGCCGGGGCATGGCCGGCGATACCACCCACTCCCCCGCGCGGCGCAGACTGGGGCTCCAGGAAGCGCTCGCCTGTGCCGCAGCCCGATGGTCGCCTCCACGATACAGGGGCAGCTGGCGAATGGGGAGCTCTGGCGCGCCGACCTCGTCGGACGCCCAACGCCACTGCATGGACGTGTAGCTCCATCGTGAAGCTTCGCTGCTCCGGAAAATGCATATTGATGCCGATCTCGTGTTTGTAAGTTCCTCCGTTTCGCCCTGGAGAGTGGCGAGGTCTTTTATCGAGCAGCGACAGAGGATTGGCCTCGAGGAAGCCGCCATTGGCCGCTTTGACACGTATTCTTTGCAGATTGCACACACAAGGACATATTTGCAGCACGCGCTGCCCATACCAAAACGGATCCAGGAGACATCGCCCTCTTTGTCAACTCGGCGTCCATCAAGATCGCACATCATATGTTCCACGTGTTTCGTAATCAGGCGGCATCGGCCTATCTTGTGCGCTTTCGGCTGCACCCTCGGGCGTTAGTGTGATAGTTGGATAGCTTCTGGATTCGCACTCGAACTTCGCACATCTGCTAGCCCCGTGCGCAACAACTCTCCCATTCGATTCCGAATACGCGTTGCTGCCCTCTTCGAACGTGAAGCTGCACACTCTTGCTTGACATGATGGATCCCGCTACATTCAGATATGGATTCCCAAAACGCTACGAACGACGACGTTTGCCATGTACCAATCATCACGCGTACAAAGATCAGCCGTGCAAGCCAGCGCGCCGTAACCAATCGTCTGCAAGATGTAAATCAACTTTCCCTTCCAAGCGAACCAGAGCATTGACAGAGGCGTCGGTGCTATGATCCATTGCGACCAGAGCTGGGAATGACTACCTGCCAGACCACCCCAACCCAACCCGAAGATCCGAATTTCGGGTTCGGGGGGTACGGGCGTCATATGTGTTTTTTCAATGTCCCCTGACCCCCCCCCACTAGAAATGGAGGGCGAATCAGGGCCTTCGGGTTGGGTTGGGGTGGTTTGGTGGGCGGTGAGGGAAGGATGGTGCTATCTGCTCCCTGAGCACATCTGTGCGAACAGTCGCCTTGCGTACAGCCACGGGTTGTCACAGTCTTCCGCCACACAAGATTGCCAGAACAAGTCAGCAGCATAGGGCGGGGCCGCTCCTAGAAAAATTGCAGGACGTGCCATGTTGGGACCGTATGATTGGGCAATCCCTGAGCCTTGAGCCAAAACGGCTACAGGGAGGAGGGAGTAGGAGGGAGGGGTGGAGGACAGAGAGAGGAAAGAGGAAGGGGAGCGACGAGCGAAGGAAAAGGAGGAGGAGGAGGAGGAAGGGAGGAGGCGGAAGGAGTGGTAGAGCGGTGAAGGGAAGGGCACGAAGTGGAAGGGCAGAAGGAGAAGAAACGGGGGAGGAGGAAGAAAAGGAAAGCGGAGGGGAGAGGGGAGGGGAGAAGGAGGGGGAGGAAGCCAAGCAGGGAAGAGGGGGGAGAAGGAGGAGGACGAGGAGCCCGAGGGAGAGCAGGAGGGCGAGGAGGGAGGAAGAAGAGCGACCTTCCCACGACGAGGGCACCGAGGCTCTCGACCCCAAGGCCACCGCCAGGGGGACAGGCCTCTAGCTGGCAGGCCCTCCCTCGATGCCCCGCGGGGCACGGGATGAAACCTGGACGCCGAGGAACCAACCAAACGACGGCGGCCTCCACAGCTGCCCTGGAGCAGCGACTCCTAAGGGGTATGGTTCGCAAGGGGCGTGGTCAGCAACCCGCACCCTGGGGGGCGGGCGAAGACCTCGACAGAGTTCTCCGCCGCGCCCCGAGGATGCCCGACGAGGGCAACTTCCTGCCCCGCAAGCCCCAACGGCGCCGAACGCAAACCACACCACGGCGCACCCCCAAGCTTTGCAGTCGCCGACCAGAGGCCTCCCGCAGCCTCTGGAGGTCCGCGGGAGTCACTCCCGGGAGGCCTCCCACGGGGGCCTCCCGGGAGCCCGAAGGCGCGCGCAGGCCACGCTGCTGGCCTGGGCCCGGAGGGAAGCTGCGCGGCGGGTGCCGCGGTGCCTCGGCCTCGCTCGCGCTTCCCGCCCCCTCGCACCTCGCCCGCCGCCCGCCGCCGCGGCCGCCGTCGTCCCTCGTCCCCCGGCTCTCCCGGGCGCACGCCAACACGGATCGGGGGAGGCAACCCCCGATACAAGAAGCCGCCGATGCCCCCTGATCTGGTGACGGAGCGCGCCGACTACGCACGGACACAGGACCCGTCCCTGATCCACGCGCCTGAATCCAAGCTTGCGATTCCTCGACGCTCGCCCCCCGCCCGCCGTCGTCGGCGTCGGCCCCCGCCCCTCGTCCCTCGTCCGTCTCCAGAGATCCTGCGGACTGATTTGTTCCCGAATTATCCGAGGTCCCCGAAGGTGCCGATCCTTTCCCCGGGGGCCGGCTTTCCATCCTGAGCGCCGTCTCTGCTGACGGTGCTGAGGCACTGCGAAGGCCCCCAGAAGCCGAGGACGGCCGAGCATCTCCCGTCGTGCTTTTCTGTTCACGACGCGAGCAGGTCTGGGCCTGTGAGGCCCAGGAGCGAAGAGGCGCCCAAACTGAACTCCTCCACACGTTGGAGGTCTTGGACGTCGCCGCCGCCGTCCGCCCGGCCCGGGCCGGGCGCGATCGGCCGCGGGCGCCGCTTGACCTGGGTCAATACAAACCCAAGTCACTCAGGCAATGCAGGATCCTGCAAAATCCTGCAGAAGCCTGCGGGGTCCTGCACGCAAGCCCGGGCCGGGGCGGAGCACCCCCTGACTTCGCAGGATCCTGCAAGGGCTGGCGCTCTGGCTGGCCCCCGTTTGCATACCACCGTCCCAAGGCTGCACGGTGTCCCCTGGGGCCGTAGGCGACCCGAGGATGAGGAGGAGGAGGAGGAGGAGGAGGAGGAGGAGGAGGAGGAGAGGAGGAGGAGGAGGAGGAGGGGGGGAGGAGGGAGAGAAGGAGGAGGAGGAGGAGGAGGAGGAGGAGGAGGAGGGAGAGGAGGAG